ACACTTTGGGCATTTTTTAATACCACTGATACTTCGACATCACATACACTGAGCTTTTTCTATAAAACACAGAAAATTGATTATAATGATATAGATGTGGACGTGGTGTTCCATTCACTACAAACCAGTAAAAGTCTGAAATGGCCTATATTTGTACTCGACTGTACTGATTTTTACTCGACCAGTCTGAATTGGTCTGAAATTTACTTGATAATACTCGACTGTAGTCTGAACCATACTTAACAGTCTGAACTTGTACTCGAGCTTTACTCGACCAGTACTTAACCATTTTATTTTCGTCTGAACCATGCTCGACCTAGTCTGAACCATGCTCGACCTAGTCTGAACCATACTCGACCTAGTCGGAACCATACTCGACCTAGTCGGAACCATACTTGACTAAGTCTTAACCAACCTAGCTAGACCTAATTTTTGTATCTATCTATTGTATTTCATCAATTTAGGAACTGTTTTAACAGCTATTTCCCCTGGCTAGAAATTTGAACAACAATTTGAAATTTAAAATGTATTCAATATGGCATTGAAACCAAAATTTCACAATAAACATGATATAAATTCAACACCATATTTATCAACAATTACATATATATATCACCTTTAAAATAAAAATAAAACAAGCTGATCAAATAATCTCAAAACTGAATTGTGACAAATATTTTCAATGTTATTCAAATTTTTTTGAATGTTTCAGATATATTTTATGGTTACTGGAAAATTTTCACCATTTACTTAAGCCTTGAATAGATTTATGGTGTCAGTTGTGTTTAGTTAATAATGCAGTGAACATTTTTTTCATTAAAATATATTTATAATAGTATATAAAGCAACTTAATAAATTTTAAAAATCACACCTTTATTTTGTAAAACCAAGAATTTAATATAATCATGATAATAGAACTTCCATAGCAATCCTTGATAACCATTTAAAAAAGGAAATGTGTTTCCAAAGTTGCAGAAAAAATTTATTTCAATTAAATTCAAATAACTTTTGTCAAAATTATAGACATGGCATACAAGAAGAACTTTAATAAGGTTTAATTACCTCAGTACATGTTGTTTTACAGGTAAAAAGCCCTTTTTTTTAAACTCGTGTATTACTTATCTAGTGAATTCAAAAGGCCTTGCGATTTAAGTTTTACAGGATGTTGCAATTTTTAATGAATGTTAATTAGAAATTAATACTCTCTGACCAGGTGTGATCTTTTTAATGAGTTTGCCCCAAGCAGGAGGTATTACTTTATACTTTACCACTAATCAGAAGAATTTTTTTTTTATCTATTTCTTTAATTTTTTTATCCCTTTTTGATATATATTATATCAGAAGTCCATTACTAGTCTAGTAATGGACTTCTGATTATATATAATATATCCCAAATTATATTAAGAAAAGATATATTTCTAATATAAGGTTAAACAATTCCAGTGATTTTTTGGCTGTTGTTACTTCATTAAAAAGATAATTATATAACTATTGTATGTAACCATGAAACGTATATAGTTTTTCTTTAGGAATTTAGGAAAATTCAGTTTAAAAAAAACATGCCAAACAAGAAGCACCTTAATCATGTTAATAAGGTTTTATTACCCTCAGTAAAGGTGTGGTTTTTAGTTAAAAGAAAATCTTTTTTTTAACAAAACTCTAAAACTTTAAAATTAATATAATAAATTATTGTATAAGATAATTTAATTTAACTATCTCTATTTGATAAATCTGAGAATCATGTAAGTATGTAAAAATATGTTTTTATATATATCTTTATTTTATTGTGGCTGTTGTCATGTCAGAAAAAAAGAAATTAATTTTAACAGCTAAAATTAAAAAAAAGTATAGGTTTTTTGGTCAAGTATGGTTCAGACTGGACGAGTATTGTTCAGACCTTTGGTTGAGTATGGTTTAGACCTGAGACTACTATAACACAGTTATAGTAGTCTCAGTTTAGACTGAAAAAATTGGTTGAGTACAGGTCGAGAATGGGTTAAGACTGTTTCAGACTGGTCGAGTAATAGTTTAGACTATTTTCAATGGCAAAGATAAGGGTCAAGTACAAATCAGTACGGTCGAGTATGGTTAAGACTGGGGTCGAGTATATATATTCGAGACACAATTAATAAGAATATATATCCAAAATGTCAAAACAAATGGCAAGAAATTTTTGGGTACGAAATTAATTGGAAAATAGTATGGGACAATCTGAAAAAAGTTAATATCACCAATAAAATAAAAGAATTTCAATGGAAATGCATTCACAATATCATATATACGGAAAGTAGACTTAAAAAAATGCAATTGTCAAATGGAAAATGTCATATTTGCCAAACGGTCAATAATACTGAAAATTTGCAACATTTATTTTTCGATTGCAATACAACCAAAATAATCATTAGTAAAATCAAAGATATTTTCACATTTTGGAATGTTCAATTAGATGATGAAAATTTAAAACATTTTATGCTTTTGGGAGATAGCAGTGGTCAATCGAACCACACTTTACTTGTAAATCTCTTTTTTATTTTGACAAAATGGTCCTTGTGGAAAATAAGAAACAAAATCAAATATGATGGGATAAAAATGTCATCTACAGATATTTTGAATCTTTGGAAATCATACATGATAACCCATCTGAAATCTGTACCCTGTTATTTATCTAATAATACAATACACAAAGAAAAAATAAACACATTAATTAATTTTATATGATAATTACAAACCTTGTAGGAGATAACAGTCACGATGTTATGTGGTCTGCCTTTTATGTCTCTTTAATTTGTATTAGGTAATCCATGGTTTAGAGGTGCACTCGATTATGTTATAATGTTATATTATTTATTACTAGTACTACATTCTAAAAAGATGTTCTTTTTCATTCATTGTCATATAATAGAATAATAAGTATTATTATGCATGTACTACTTTTTCAGGTAATACCGTGCACTTTTTTCAGCCTCCTGCTTCCCGGACAGTTGGTTTTAAATGTAAACGGGAATCCCCAGTTTGCATCCTGGGCAACTGAGGAAAATGTAAACAGGAAATTTTTTGGAATAAACAAGTATCTATTTAAAAAAAAAAAAAGACTGGGGTCGAGTATTAAATGTCGAGTAAAATTCAGACCAATTCAGACTGGTCGAGTAAAAATCATTACAGTCAAGTACAGATATAGGCCATTTTAGACTTTTACTGGTTTGTAGTGATTGTTATCTCGAAAAAAAAATCTGTTACCAAGTGGAATAATTTATAAAATACAGGGCTACCTCTACTTACTTATAAGCCAATAATTGTTGATACCATTTACAGAGTTATCTTTTTATGCTTCCATTATTATAATGATATGTAGAGTTAGTGCTGAGGTACTTCCTAGTTAAAAAGGGGTGTAAGAAGTTATATTAAAGCAAGCAAAATCATTTTCGTTATGTAGTTGACAAAATATCAAGAACACTATAAAAAATTAAAATAAATCTGAAACCATAGCCAGCTACTATTTCAAGCCTTTATTATCATTCTACGTTGTATTTTCTATCTTAAAACAGAAATAAATAAAATATATTAACTTGCAAATTTGGCAACCACATTTTAATCCAACAAAAAAACTGTTAACAAAAAGCGGGGCACTAACTATGTAATGAGTGGTAAGGGAAGCTTTATGGTATATGATAAGGTCACAAAATAAAAATGAAAATTATGAAAAGGTCAAGAAATAAGAATGCACTACATGTATATGAAAAGCTTGCTGATATGATCATAAGTCTGAGTCTGAGACAGATATCAAATTTTTTTCATAGATGTAATTAAAACCTCAATCATCAACGCATATTTTTGTTATTCAAAATACTTAAAACAAATGGGGTACTGGATATATCAGCAGCTCACCATTACCACAAAACGACCGCAGAGGTCGAACCCTGAACAGTTGGTGATTAAATATTTGACACAGCATAGGTTTCTGACACAGAATGAATGTGGTCTAAGAACTTACAAATTTTAAATTTACCTATTCAAACCATATCATTATTATTTGCTTTTATATATAAATCAGAAATAACCAATTTAAAATGGAAAATTTTAAAGAAAAAAAAAGGAAAAAAAATCCCTCCCCCCCCCCAATTTTTTGAACCCCCTTATGATTCATCACCCCCAAACTCAATCCCAGCCTTCCCTTTGTGGTATGGTACCTTACAGTACAATTTCAGAGAGATCCATACACTTGAACACAAGCTATTGTCTGGAAACTAGAAAAATGCTTGTTTTTAGGCCCCTTTTTGGCCCCAAATTCCTAAACGTTTAAGGCAATTGCCCCCAAACTCAAACCCAGCCTTCCCTTTGTGATATGGAACCTTGTAGTACAATTTCATAAAGATCCATACACTTACACACAAGTTATTATCCTGAAACTAGAAACATGCTTGTTTTTTGCCCCTTTTTGGCCCCTAAATCCTAAAATTTTGAGGCAATTACCCCCAAAATCAATTCCAGCTTTCCCTTTGTGATATGGAACCTTGTAGTACAATTTCAGAAAGATCCATACACTTACACACAAGTTATTATCATGAAACTAGAAAAATGCTTGTTTTTTGCCCCTTTTTTGGCCCCTAATTCCTAAAATTTTGAGGCAATCACCCCCAAAATCAATCCCAGCATTCCCTTTGTGATATGGAACCTTGTGGTACAATGTCAGAGAGATTCATACACTAACACACAAGTTATGTCTGGAAGTTACAAAAATGCTTATTTTTGGCCCCCAATTCCTTAACTGTTGGTACCATAACCCCCAATATCAATCTCAACCTTTCTTTTGTGGTATTGAACCTTATGGTAAAATTTCATAGAGATCCATTCCCTTAAACTAAAGTTAGAGTGCGAAAACAAATGTGTCTTCGGACGACAACGACGACGCCAACGTCATACCAATATACGACCGCAAAATTTGTGTGAGGTCGTATAAAAACTGTCATTAAATTAAATAAAAAAAACAAAAAAAAAACAATTATATCTGCATACATTTTACTATTGTCTATAATATATACAGAAAATAAAAGTAAACAATATCATCATAATCATGGCTGTAGTGATTCTGCAACATCTAGAAATCCTGTCTCTCTCAGAAGCTGTGCTAATTTGCATATTTGAGCAAGTCCATTTTCTTGTTGTCTTTTCCACTTTAATAAACATGTGTAAAATACTTCTCCTTTTAATGCTCTATCTCTGTCTTCTAAATATTCTAATTTCTGTCTTCCATATATTGTTTCCACTATAAAAATACATTAATAATGTTAATGTTGGTTTTACTATAAAAGATGTTCAGCAATAAAAAAATATATGTTTACATCTAGACGCATATTGTTTTTGTGTTGTTTGGTTTCTGTCTATTTTTCATCGATGTATACATGTATACCTCACATCTTCTTTTATTGCCAGGGCTCTGAAATACTCCCTGACTAACATAAATGTGGAAGATTCACCATCAAATAATAATTTTACCATAAAAACTTCAGAGAAAATAATAAAAATCTGTGTTAAATTTATATTAAAGGCAGACATATCATTTTGGTTGGTTGAGGGCATTAACAAAAACAATTCCTATGAATGGTGTCATCCTGGTTTGCCCACTTTTAATTACATGCATATGTAAACATAGGGGAGATTGTTGTTTTAACAATTATAGTTTATTTCTAAATTATAGTCATATTTTTTACCTTTTATATTACCTTTTAATTTTATAAAAGATACTATATTCTGCTATTAAATCAAAGAAAATGTGCAAAAAAAAAATTATATTTGATATACATTGTAGTTTTAAGCAGGAAAAAGTAATGAATTTGACAAATATAAAAAAAAATCAACAAAAATGTTTATTATTCTTTACAATTTATCAACAAATAGTTTTAATTGTTGGTACATTCTAGAAAAAATAAAATAATGAAACCAAAGCTTTAAGTTAGAATAAATAGCCATTTAAATTTAAATATCTTTTCATTTATTAAACTATTTTTTTAAGTGCTTTATTTATTTCCTTGTGCATATATTATATAAATTATGTTTTCAATAAAAGAGAACTTGTTTTTGTGGATTATGTTATAGAATTTTTAAGACAGAAATTAAGTTTAAGAAATATTTTAATATTTTGTCAAATGACCATTTGTATGCATTGTGCAAATTTAGGTGTGGTAGTCACCGATTTTCAGTTGAGATGGGAAGGTGGCCGGGTCTTGCAAGAGAAGATTGAGTATGCCATCTTTGTAACTCAACTGACATTGGTGACGAATACCACTACATTATGACTTGAGAAGCATTTAAAACTGACAGAACAAACTTGTTATTTAATTATTTTTGGAAAAATCCAAACATATGCAAATTTAATGTTTTTTTTCAATTCAACAAATATTGTACAATTAGAAAAATTGTGTAAATTTATTAAGATTATTATGGTGAAAGTATGTCCTCCTAGTTAAAATATGTAACTGACTTGTAGTATTTCACACATGCATGTAGTAAGTCTATTTGTGTAAACATGTATATATGTACCATTCTCTGTAACTTTGTATTTAGTTTATGAAAATAAAAGATTCATTCATTCACATGAATGTTAAATAATCGATTGAATTGATATTAGATTATTGTGAGAAAAAATATACGATTTATTTATTATTTTCCTATACGAATGAAAATGGAATTACAAAATTAAAAATACTTGAATATATAGAAAACATTGATAAACTATATACCTAAGTTGGAACAGACTATATAATTGTATGCTCATTAAACCTTTTGTCTTTTTTGTTTTCTTTACTAATAGATAATTGGTATAGTTAAAAGTGGGCAAACCAGGAGTAAACCCTATGAATGATTCAGACAAAAATTTTATTCCAAAGGGCCCAGTGGTTTCAGAACATTATGATTAAAAAAAAAGTTAATTGACAACTGACATGACTGATGTCAAGAGATTCTTATCTAGTAAAAGATCAAATGCAATAATATTCCAATTTAATCAAATCCAAATATCATTTTAGCTTTCTGAATACATTTTGAACATGCTGAAAGGCAAACCACTTCTATGATTTAAGTGCATTATTTTACAGGTATTATGAGGCATTATTTTACAGGTATTATGAGGCATTATTTTACAGGTATCATGAGGCAAAAGGAGTGTAACTCCACTCATTTAAATAAGTAAAATAATTGTAATATGCAGAACAATGAAAATTCATCGTTTTAAAAAAGTGCTTTGAATGCATCCACTTTTACGATTCTTGTGTAAGGGTAGCACCAATTACCTGTCCTAATGTAAAGAAAATGATAAGTTCTACCTGAATAAAGGAAAGGTTATGTATTACTTACTCTTGAGAGTCAACTTACATTTTTTCATATCATTTTAAATGTTACATATTTGTAAATGTATATTGTTTATTTGTGTTATTTAGTAGCAATCTGATTGTTTAGATTTTCTACTAATAAATATCTTATTCTTACTTTGCTGTCTAATTCTCCATTGGTTTTTAGGTTGTTCTGCTATTTTTTCTGATACATAGGCTAATTCCCAATTCTCTACCTGTCTAGTAGATTCTGAAGAATAAAACAAAAATTCTGAATGGAAGAACCCGTAATCTTTTTATAACTTTTGTTATATCTGTACCTAAGCAATGAATACTGAGCTGATGATACTCTTGGAGACTAGCCGTCAATCAGCAACAGTATCAACCCAGTGCTTGAAAATGTAAATAACACTTATAGTATAAATTTGGGGAATCTGAAGCACATTTCAGAATTTTAATACCTTCATCAGGAAAACTCAAAGCCGAACTTTTAAAGCCAAGGATGTTTAAATATTTGAGGAGCTTTATGACCAAAAAAAAATCTAAAATGTGTCTAAGGTCAACTTTACCTCACTCTCTCACAGAGCCTTAGTTTCTTAATGATTTCTAAATTTATCAATAAATAATTAGTTTAATCATTTATATCCTTACCCCAAACAACTATATTAGGTACTTGGATATCCTGTGGTCTGAAGCTGTCTGCAGATCTTCCATCTCCCAATGTTGTTGTCTGTTTTACCATTTTGATTTCTTACTTGAAATAAACAAAATATAATAAATCACTATTTACAATTTGATTTATATAATTATCAGACTGTAAAATGTAAGAGAAAGACATCAATGATTGGCAACTAAATATTTATTTAACAATATTAATATGACGAGAATCTGATGATTGGTTTAGGAGCTACCATTTGATTTTTATGGGGGGTGGGGCTAGGATGAAATTTGAAAAAAAAGGCAGGACAGGAGTTTTGAATAAAAAAAAGAGCAGGATGAGCAACTTGGCAAAAAAAAAAGGCAGGATGATAATTTATGTGAAAAAAGTCAGGATAAACTAATGAAAAAAAAAAAGGCAGGACAGAATAGAGTGAAAAATAAAAATGCAGGACAGAGATTACAACTAAAAAAAAAATGCAGGACAAAATTTTTCATCCTAGCCCCCATAAAAATCAAATGGTAGCTCCCTTATCAGATTGTATTTGACAGAAGCTAGTGTTTCTCTTTGTTTTACCAGCAAGCCTGAAGATGACTTGATAATTTCGGGTCAACATTATTAACATCTATTCATTCATTATGACATTGGTGATATGTCTGGGTCAAAGTTATTTAGGCTGGGTTAATGTACTTGCATCACAAAGCCGTCAGATGCACTATTATAAAGAGCTGATACAGACAGTAGGAACACCAATAACCTAATTCATTAGACTGCAGGACTCATATAAAACTAATTCAGACAAATATATTTTGTACAACATTGATCAGTAAGTCTTTTCACAATTATATTGTAAGTTTGTTTTCGTTCAATTTTAACACATCAATATTGTAACCTGTAAAACAAACGAGTTTAATTAATTTCATTATAATTATACCAAAACATTTGTAATTTTTTTCTTTCTATTTCAACTTCCTTTAAGCATGTTAAGAGAACCCCAAGATTCCCTTCATCATAACATGTGTATCTTGCATGAATATATCACAGATACATCTGGATAGTGTTAATATTTAGGTTACAAAATAGTTTCAGCAACATGGTCAATCGAAGTGTAAACCAGGGAAAACATTTCAATAGACCAACCAGATTCCTGAGTTTGTAGATATGCGAATCATATAAGAATTATAATAGGTTACACCAAGGATTTATATAGTCTTACCATAAAAAATCCTTGGTTACACTCAATTAATTTATGCATGTTAAGAGTAGTTTGTCTTGTTTGATATTTTTTTCTAAAAAAATGGAAAATGCCACAGATTAATATTTTTTTATCATACTCATCTTTCACATAATTACATTGGATATCATTAAAAGAGGAGTAACTCCAAAGCAAATGTATTTATTCCTTCTAAAATTGTGAAGCAATTTTTGTCAAGATTAAACATGTTAATACTGCATTGCACTGCATTAAAAAAAAATTCGTAAGGGTTCCGCGGAACCCAGTGTCTCGCCTACTTTTGGTGTTAATCGCAGGGCAGGCTCAACAAAAATGAGGAAAAAAATTAATAAAAATATTCCTCTCTATACTATCTTTTGATTGTAAGTAGCTTCTGTCCAAGTTTGGTAAAAATCCAGGATAATTTATGAATCTAATAAATGTTTTAAAAACTTAAACTGCAGAATGTATGTAATGTTGACTGGAAGAAAAACTAAGTCCATTTATAAGTAAAATACGGAAAAAACGGAACAAAATTTTATCAAAATTTCCTTCTAGATACTAGCTTTTGATCATAACCAAGCTTCTGTCCAAGTGTGGTACAAATCCAGTATAGTTGAAGAAAGTTGTTAAAATTTTAAAAACTTTAACCACAGAGTGAATGTAATGTTAACTGGCAGAAAAACTAAGTCCATTTATAAGTAAAATACGGAAAAAATGGAATTTTTTTTTTACAAAATTTACTTCTGGATACTATCTTATGATCATAAACAAGCTTCTTTCCAAGTTTGGTAGAAATCCAGGATAGTTTAAGAAAGTTATTAAAATTTCAAAAACTTTAACCACAGAGTGAATGTAATGTTTCCTGGCAGAAAAACTAAGTCCACTTATAAGTAAAATACGGAAAAAATGGAATTTTTTTTTTACAAAATCTACTTTTGAATATAATCTTATGATCATAAACAAGCTTCTGTCCAAGTTTGGTAGAAATCCAGGATAGTTTAAGAAAGTTATTAAAATTTCAAAAACTTTAACCACAGAGTGAATGTAATGTTTCCTGGCAGAAAAACTAAGTCCACTTATAAGTAAAATACGGAAAAAATGGAATTTTTTTTTTACAAAATCTACTTTTGAATATAATCTTATGATCATAAACAAGCTTCTGTCCAAGTTTGGTAGAAATCCAGGATAGTTAAAGAAAGTTATTAAAATTTCAAAAACTTTAACCACAGAGTGAATGTAATGTTTCCTGGCAGAAAAACTAAGTCCACTTATAAGTAAAATACGGAAAAAATGGAATTTTTTTTTTACAAAATCTACTTTTGAATATAATCTTATGATCATAAACAAGCTTCTGTCCAAGTTTGGTAGAAATCCAGGATAGTTTAAGAAAGTTATTAAAATTTCAAAAACTTTAACCACAGAGTGAATATTTGTGGACGCCGCCGACGACGACGACGACGCCGACGGAATGTAGGATCGCTATGTCTCGCTTTTTCGACAAAAGTCGAAGGCTCGACAAAAATTATTGGAAAAAAATTGTATGAACTTGATGGTAAAACAATAAATATTTAATTAGTCACAAATGAAAAGAAATGTAAGACCTATTTGGATATACCATTCAAGTACACGTATGAATAAAAGACTGTATGTAAATTAATTTCTATCAAATCAATCCAAGAAATTTTCACAAGGGGGCCCACTGACTGCCATAAGAGGGGGCCCCCTCCAGTGATTTCCTAATTAAGCAATCAAATTTTACCCACAAAAGGGGGCCCCCCTCCCCCCCCCCCCCCCCCCCCTTTGAAACTTCAAAGACAGGTGTTTTCTATCTGAAAGAACCAGGCAAAATAACAGCATTACAACAAACGAGAGTTCATGTGAGACAATAACATCCTTTGATTTTATTCTTTATCATTGATTGGAACATTTAACTCACATCTCCTATTATTCATATACATGAGTTTGATTTTTGATGGGGGTTGGAATGTTCAATCATTTTACCTTTTAAACTATCAGATGTATATAATAACTGAAATCTTTTAATACCAGTAAAAACAAAATTTTGATTGGAAGGACATAAGAAGAAGTAACCATTGTGACCCTGTAACTGGATTTGGGAATGGAGCCTGTTTTGAAAAAAAGTAATTTGTAATAAATTATAAAAGTGAATGTAACCATTGTAACCAATGTAACTGGGAAATTTTCAGATTCTAATTTAATGTGAAACCCTGTGTTACTATAGTGTAACCCTGTAACTGGATTTGGGAATGAAGCCTTTTTTTACAGTACTTCTAATAATAAGTATTAAAAGTGAATGTACCAATGTAACCAAGCAATTTGTTGATTCTTTTTAATTAACCAAGTGTTACTAGAGTGTGACATAATCATTGTAACCATGAAAAAAATGCTTGTAAAAAGAGAACGTAACCAAACTCTGTACCTCAAATACATTGTATATGAAATAAACTTAAAATAGTGAATGTTACTGTTGTCACCAGTGTAAACATACACCTTATCGCTATTTGTCCGCCATTACTGGACATCACACAAGTTCCCGTAAAATTTTGACGTCATAATAGAAAATATCTGACGCCACAATGGAAAAGTGATTGTTGTATGACGTCAAAAGTTCGAGCGGGACTGATTCTCGGGTCAAGCGGGATTAGCGATAAGGTGTATTCTCATGTAGCAGTTACAAATTCTGACATGTTGACTTTGGGACACATTTCTGGACATATTATATGACAAATGCATAAACCTTCCTAGTCCAAATAATTATCACGTCTTGCAAGGCTATTTTAATTGTTTTCTGTGTGTGCCAGAAGAAAGCAATTTATCAAAAATCAAATCATGAACACAATTTTGGAAAGCAGTCTAATTATCAGAGCAAAATATTCATTTGTTTGTTCCTTCTTACCTGTTTATCGTTTGTAAAATATCAATATTTTTAACATTACTTGATTTTGTTTTAATAAAAATCAACTCAAACACTCTTTCGTTTTTGGTTTTTCCCTTTTACAAAAAAAAATGGGTTACACTAAAGACCTGAATGTGGACCTGAAAAGACCTGAATAGATCTGATGATATACGACTCGATGTATTCAAATTACAATAACTTTTTTATTTTACAAATATATTTTCATCAAGTTAAAATTTTATTAAAGGTACAGATAAACATTTTATTAAAAATAAACAAAATAAAATAAAAACAAATTTTTGATGCCGAAACCCGGACCTGAACGGAGAAATGAAAAGACCTGAACGGACCTGGAAATATATGGTCGAACTTATTCAATCTCCAATAACTTTTTAAATGTACAATGGATTTCCTTCAACCTTAGATTTTGTTAAACAAAAAGTTTAATGTTTTGTTAATATTAAAAATTCAATATTGAAAAATAAGTTTTGGTTGCCAAATTTTGACCTGAACGAGAATTTAATTTACCTGAATTGACCTGAAAATCTCGGGTCAAATTTATCCAAGTTCATAACTTTTTTAGTTTTCAAATGATCTCCTTTACATTTGAATTTTGTTATAGAAAAAGTATAATATTTTATCAAAATGACAAAGAATTTGATGAAAAATATTTTTGGTTCCAAAAATTGGACCTGAGCAAGGAAATAAAAAGACCTGAATGGACCTGCAACATCTTTGGTAGATTTATTCTAACTTGTTTTTCAATTGATGTTATTCTAAATTAGATTATGTTGAAGAGAAAGACTAATTTTATATACAGAGAAAAATTTAAAATAACGAAATACCATGTTGATGCTGAAACCTGGACCGGCTGAAGGGAAAACAGGATTGTCGGTGGAAAATTATTCAAAACTAAATTAACTTGTTTAAATTGTATTTATATAAACTTCTATAACAACAGGTTTTAAACTGTTATATTTATATATTGAAAATAAAAGTATCATTTGCACATCAACCATGTAATCTAAAGACGTGTGTTCGTCGTTTGTAATGTATTAATTATACGAACGTGTGCCGTCTATAATTCACACCTTGTGTTAGGTGATAATTGGATCATTGGTCTAAATAAACATTTCATTGTAATCTTTTAATTGGATTACAATTTAATCTTGTTACAAGACCTAAACATTGTTCATGTACTAATTTTGCAATAAAATTTACAATAAACGAAAAACAAATATGACTCAAATACGACATACAACAACAAACGACAACCACTGAATTACAGGCTCCTGACTTTGTACAGACACTTACAGAATGTGGCGGGTTAAACATGTTTTGAAAAATAAAAAAGGAAATGAAGTTTGAAAAATATATTCATTAGTGAAATTTCAGGTCCATTCAGGTTTTTAATTCCCCGTTCAGGTCCGAGTTTTGGCACCCCTAACATATTTTTCATTATCAAATTTATCATTTTAACAAAATATTAAACTTTTTATTTAACAAAATCTAAAGTTGAAGGAAATTCATTGAACTTCAAAAATTTATTGAAGTTTGAATAAGTCCGACCATAGATTTTCAGGTCTGTTCAGGTCTTTTCATTTCTCCGTTCAGGTCCGGGTTTCGGCATCAACAATTTTTTTTTTTTTTTTTATTTTGTTTATTTTTAATAAAATGTTTATCTTTACATTTAACAAAACTCTAACCTGAAGAAAATATATTGTAAAATAAAAAAAGTTATTGTAATTTAAATACATCGAGTCGTATTTCTTCAGATCTATTCGGGTCTTTTCAGGTCCACATTCAGATCTTTAGTGTAACCCAAAAATGATATGAGTTATTTCCCCTACCACAATAAAGTAAAAATATAACAAGTTCCGAAAGATTTTAAAATATATTCCGGACAATGCTGTATCACCGATTTTTGCAACTCGTGATCACTGATTAAATTCGTAATGACGGGTTGCTTTTATAGAGGGGGAGGACAGGGGGTACCCTTCTCCCACCTCCCACTTTTAGAATCTTTTTTCTCTCCCACCTAATTTTTGGATTACATCCGTGCTATAAACGATTTCCGAAATTTGTAAAACGATTTCTCAAATTTGCCAGTCATAATGAATTTAATCCTATATATGGGTCATCCAAAAAAGGTAGAATTTTGAAATTTCAAAATTGAATAAAAGTTACTAGTTTAATCAATCCTCTTTACAAGCCGGAATCAAAACAAACAACTGAATACTTTTTGAACAGTTAATAAAAAAAAACGCAATCTTAAAAATGTCACACTAGAATTTAATGAAACATTTTTTGATAGCCTGTTGTGTAATATTTGTCAATCCTGTTAGCATGTTCAAAATGAATTTTCGAATATAAAGAATAAATATGTCTCTATCAAAGATTAAAGTTATTTTTAATGAATAATAATGTGGTTTGCAAGAACAAATTTAAGCTACCGTTTATATTTTCTTTTGTGCCGTATTGATAGTTTGTATGTCAATTTTCCATGATGATACAGAAAATACCTCTACAAATTGGTTTTCAAAGGTTTTATAAAAATGACAACAAGCAACGTTAGTTTAAGACACCAATTCATTATAATCAGTTGTATGCGTCCATAAGTAAATACTTGACGTTTGTGTTTATTGATATTATATTCTACATTTTTGGAAAAGATTCATTAACAGGAATGTATATTTATTATTATAAATTTCAATTCTTTTTTGTTTTGTTTTAATAGTTCAACCTTATAGCATCTAAATCTTTGCAATATGGTAAGATTTAGAAAATTGTATTCAATGTGTTGACCAGCTATCCTACACATCTTGGTTCATTTACATTATATATCACCCTGTTAACACGACACACTATCGGTTTTCGTTCACACAAATTCCGGATTAAATGGCAATGAATCCGGAGTCGGCAATGAATCCGGAGTCAAAACACTTGAGGTAGTGTAGGTAGTTTGCCACCGAATTCAACTAAAAAACATAAGATTCGAGTCTGGATTAATATATGTGATGACGCAAATGCGTATTCTTATCCAGAGTATCAGTGCGTAATAAATGCTTTCTATTTATACTATTTTTTGCGCCAAAAAAAAAACCACGTGCATGCATAAATATTAATTTCTCTCGCGAAAACGAATTTTCGCTTTTTTTTTTATCTAAATTCGGGACACGATAGTAAGAGCTTGACATGTGACTTTCAAGCAGGGTCATCATTACCTGAGGTATTCCGATCTCTAGCTGTTTCTCTTTTCTTTTTCTTTTTTTCAGTGACTTCATATTCTAGAATAAACTTTGACATTTTCGAAATGCTAAGGATTTTCTTTCTACCCAAGGAATAGATTACCTTAGATGTATTCGGCAAAACCTTTGTTTCGAAATTTATGGGTCCTCAATTCCTTTCAACTTCGTACTTTATTTGGCCATTAAAACTTTTAATTCAACTGATGAGTCTGGCGTACAACATTTTAATCCTGGTATCTTTTTATATCTACATATCTTTTTATATAAATTGGTTCAGGTATTCATAAAACTTCTGAAAAATAAGAAGATATTCTTCAAAACCAAGTTTTCCTGTAGAATATTTGGATTGATTTAAGTAACTTCGGGAAATCCTTAAAATTTGAGATGTTTTATGAGACCAAAATAATTTTCAGTATACAAGAGGTCCCAATAAAGCTGGTGTGATACTCTTAAGAAAAATATACAAAACCTTCTTATAAGTTGTATGCCACAGTGTTTCACTTCACATGGAAATTGGACTTTAAATTTATGTATACAACATCTACCATGAGTACAGACAACTTCAATAACGAGTATACAAATAATTGAAGGCATCCAGGAAACAAAATATGAAGATATGATAGATAACACAAATGCATCCAGATTTGCATAAGACTTCCGGTTTGCAGAAACTGGGATTTGCAATAGGATTATGAAAAAATGATGTACACTCCCAAGTTATAAATAAAATAGTCAAGCCCTAAAAAGTAAATTCAAATAGTAGTTGTGTATATACACCTTTCTATTCACAACTATTCAACATTGCTTTCAATTGACTTGTGCAAAAATCTACACACAGTTACATATTTTCAATAAAGGTGTTTTAACATCATCATTATCTTATTCACAGTCAATTATTTCAAATCAAATGCAAACAAAAATACAGCAACAATTGTTTGGTGTCCAGTCAGGGTCTCAGGTTCATGTGTTTTTTTTTTTAAAGAAACCAACTTGTTTTTCCCTTTCGAATAAACCCAACATCAAGTTATTCGATCTATCACATATTGCTTTACATTACCATTTTGTTGTTGGTACGCCATGACAGTTACGCCAAGACGGCTTTGTGATTCATGCAACAAAGCTGTAACTGTGAAAACACAAAGAACTCTGTTGTGATGCCATGCCAGGTATGATATCATATAAATTGTCCTTCATTATTTGTTCTTTAAATAATGTAAAGAATCTATCATCACATGCACAAATGAATGAAATTAAAATATTAAAAAGGGCGTCAACGGCAAATTACTGCATGAAAGATCATCTTAGTCCTATCATGACACTCATCTTTCAAAACTCCATGAACACAGACTAAATACCTACAGACTGGAAACATGCAAACGTCTGACCTGTATTTAGAAAGTACAAACACAATGTCATTAATTACAGGTCCATCTCACTAACAGCTCGTCCTGAACATGCATGAAATATTTGCCACTGGACGTTAAGCAACCAACAATCAATCAATCACTAACAGCAAATGTAAATGGACAGCTAAAATTTCTAAGATGTATCTTCCGAGCAAACAAAAGAAAGGGCATACATGGATTTGGTTAGACTCAAGCATGAGTACAACTATTGTGTGTGTGACCCTCACAACAAAAATCAGATTTGAGATGGTCCAACGAAAAGCTCGCTTTACGTGAAACAGAGACCATAATACCAGCTCTGCGTCATACACAACAAATTAGACAAGTGGTATTCTATAAAATTATACACCAACATTTAGCAATATACCCTAAAGATCTTCTTATTACATAACTAAGACAGCAGAACAAGACATAAACACACTAAGAATTGTAAGAAAATTCAAACCAATTTATAAA